TACCAGAATTTTATAAAGCAATTAAAGGACGCCATAATCCGAAGTAACGGCAATAATGATGGCGACCTCACACGCTTCCTCACGTTTTTTACGTTCTTCTTCAGCTTTTTTCTCACGCTCAGCACGTAATGCTTGCTCTTCAGCAAGCCTCTCAGCTTCTTTCCTTGCTCTTTCTTCCTCTTTTTGCTGTTTTATAGCCCTAAATAAGTACTCAAATCAATATTGAACAAAATTTATAATTCATTAAAGTACTTCACATCAAAAAGTCAAACCTATTTTTAGCTTTTTTTCTTTCTTTTTCTTTTAACTTTTTTAATTCACGTTCTTCTTTTAGCCGGTTTTCTTCTTCTAGCTCTTCCAATAATTTTTGTTGTCGTTCTTGTGCAACCTAGTTAATTCCCAAACCCGTCTTTAGTAAATTAAAAACCTAAAATGCTTATAAAATAATTTTCTGTAACTTTACAAACTTTTTCCCGGTATGCATTTAGTACTCTTTGTTCAAACATTCGTGCTGCAAATATCTGGAACATCCGCCGGCCTTCTTCCATACGTTGTTCCTCTGTTTGCGTATCCTATGAACAAATTTTTATATAAGTATAAACATAAGTTATAGGGTTAATGCAAACTTGACGAATTATTCACACCTCTTCTCCTTCGTCTTCATAGTCTTCTTCATATTCGTCATCATCCTCTTCGTAATCACGTTGTTCCATCGCAGCTTCTTCTTCTCTTTGCATTCGACGTTCAGCAAGTCGTTCCATCATTTCAAGAAACTTTTTTCCATCATTTTTTAAAAGGTCATCAGCTACAGTCAAAATGCCTCCTGATTCAGTAAATGTATATTAATACTTTTAATATTGATTAAATAAATCAATAAATCTATTTATAATATATATAAATAATAAAGAAAATCGACCATCAAGAAGATATTTCCTCAAGGACCTTTGTTTCCTTCCAGGTAGTCATCACGCACCTTTCACGGTTAAGCTATTACCAAAATTAAAAAGTTCCTTCCGAGTATCGCTACCGTGCTCACTGCCTTCATAGTCTTCATCATCGTCGTCATCTTCGTCATCATATTCATCATCATCATCGTCTTCATCGTATTCCGCAACAGAGTCATTACGATATTCGACAGTTGACGAACCGAATTGTTGTTGTTGATTAGCATATAATTCGAGCTCTTCATAATAAGCATCATAAAGGGTTTCTAGCTCTTCTTCAATAGCGGTTCTAAATTTAATTCAAAAATACTTTTTAATATATTTATATAATAAATAATGTAATATAGAAATAAACTCTCAAAAGACCAAACAGTTATATAAATATATATAGTGTCTTGTACACAGTATCAATTGAATAAAGCATCAACTTTGGGCATAAATAGTGGATCGTTCATAAAATTAAATATAGTCATTCTAATGAAAATTTTAGATAATAAGTGGCAACATTGTTATACCACCAACCTCTTTCGACCACATACGGAACATGAGCATGAATGTTTCTGTTGTTCTTTCATTTTT